TGACCCCCGGATATCCGGGCTCTAGATATCCGCCCAAAAATCAGGACATCCGCGGATATACGGATCCGGATCCGAAAATAATATTAAAAATAATTAAAATAATTAACAAATAAATAAAAATATATTTTTAAAAATTATTAGTTAATATTTTAAATGGTGTTTTTTCATTATAAATGTAATTTATTATAAAAAGAACTAAAATCAATTTTTATATATATTTATTTATATAAAATTAGTTTAATAGATATATAATATATATGTTTTTTTGTATATTTAATGCGTCCGGATCCGGATATCCGAACCTTAAAATTTTGCTATCCGGATCCGGATCCTCTTTTCACGGATCCTAGATTTTACTATCCTTATCCCGATCCGGACTTCCCGGATATCCTAATTTTCGAAACAATTCCAAACGGATAACGGATCGGATCTCATATCCCGGATAATAATTCCACCCCTAACTTTAGGTATAGAAGTCGCTACGGACAAAGCGTTTAAATAAGAATCATATTGTTATGGTTTAATTGGTGAAGATTACATACATATATTCGACATTAGTGTGCATGATAGCTATTCTTTAGAATCTTCATTTTTGGTGGAACCATAAATGGATCTGTTGTTTGTAGATATAGAACAACACTATTAAATTTGTCCTAATCCTTTATATATTACTATAGATCCCTTCACTGAAAGATGTGGGATATCTTAATACAAACAAACACATTTCTTTGCTTCTTTGTCCCAATTAATATCTTGTAATGTTGTGTTGTTCGAGTGCCAGTGGGTGTTAACGACATGGACGGATGAAGAATGCAAGCAGATAATGAAGAATTGCTACAATGCTTTACCGGTTGGAGGTAAGCTAATCGCTTGTGAGCCGGTTTTGCCTAAGGAAACCGATGATAGCCAACGGACTCGTGCCTTGTTAGAAGGCGACATCTTTGTCATGACCATTTATAGAACCAAAGGTAAGCATAGAACTGAAGAAGAGTTTATGGAGCTTGGTCTCTCTGCTGGCTTCTCCACTTTTCGACCATTCTACATTGATTACTTCTACACCATCTTAGAGTTTCAGAAATAATCAAAGCAATTATCTTCTGATATTTCTAAAAGCTTTGAAATAATCAGACCTCTTTGTTGGCATCTCTAGTGAATACATTTTCACGAAGATGTAATAATGTAAGAGCATCTCCAATGGTTAGATACTACATGAATATCTAACCAATATAATGTAGTACTTTTAATCAATTTTATTTTGAGAATTTTTTTTTAGTTTTTCATCTTCAATGGTGAGATACCCTTTGAGTTTCTTACTAATAAAATAACTAATATATTTTAAAATATTTTATTAAATTTTAAGAATTTTAATATCAAAACACATTTCAAATATCTGTAAATAAAATAATTAGTTATATTTATTCATTTGATCTATAATAATAAATATAATAAAATTACCAATTTTAATAAGCTTAGTAGCAATATTACTTATACATTGTAAAACATATAACCAAAATAATGCAAATACATCAAATCTATAGTATAAGATAAGAAAAATATATCAAGTCTATTTATAAGAGAGGAAAATAAAAAATGATAAATGATTTTAGCAAAATATAAAACTGAAATTTTAAATTAAATCTCAAAATTTTTAATATATTAAAAATTTTAAGTAAAATAATACTAATGTTATATTATTGTATTAATATTAATTAATATCAAGTAAAAGTAATATTACAATATAATTAAAACTTATACATAATGGAACTTAATACACTACAAGAAAACAGGGTCGTTTCCGACGGCCAAAACCGTCGGAATAACCGCCGGAAAGGGATAACCGGAATCCGTCGGAAATACTGACGAATTTCCGACGAAAAAAGGATAACCGTAATCCGTCGGAATTCCGTCAGTAGTCCGTCGGATTCCAATTACCGACGGATTTCCGACGGCATGATTTACCGACGGAGTTCCGACGGTCAGAATTTCCGACGGATTTCCGACGAAGGTGGTAACCGACGGATTTATTATTTT